GCCCCCCCCCCCTCCCCCACGCCTTTTGGGAGGTAAAAAAAAAGAAAAAAAAAGAAAAAAATATAGAAAAAGAAAAAAATGATAGCCCACAACGCCTCAAATGTTATTTTCGGGCGTCTAGAACACAACAATTTCGCGGGGGCATGCCCCCCGGACCCCCTAGGACATTGTTGTCTCGATCGGCCCAAATTTCGCCCCCCCCCCCTTTTGGACATCTCTGGATCCACCCCTGAATAGTAGTGTTGTTATGTTAATTTAATGGTGTTTTCGTGTATGCTCATATTATATGTCAATTTTTCTATATTTATGTAACTTGATAATTAAATAAACGAATGCTTATATAGTGCACAGTGCATAAATCCTCTGTGGGTTTTACATTTTGAAGAAAAGTATGTTTTTAATAAATTTCTCAGTAAGGTACATCCGCAGTAATCTTATGGGTATTATTTTGGTTTCATTGTGTTATTAAGACATGTTGGAGAAACCCAAAATCTCCAAGCAGATTAATAGAATGAATAAATATTAATAACGTGGAAGAGGAATCTGACAACGAAGAAACAACTCAACCAGTTGCGGGTCCAGTAGCCCCCCCCCCCACGTCTTGCCACTAAATTTCAATGCATATAAATGTTATGTGCTCCCACTTTACTATTCTGAAACTGCTGTGCCCCAACCACTCACACCACCCCCCCCCCCACCACCCCCCCCTCCCCCGTTTAAAAAATTCTGGATCCGCTTCGGTCAACCTCCACCAGAAGAAACGTGACATGATAAACACTATAACCATTGGGCCATGAAGGAGATAATGAATCCAAGCATGCCATATGCATACATATGTACATAAACATACATTTATACACATATATACATATAATATGTGTCGTTCCACAACCGTATGCATTCATATTACTGTATTTGATTTTAAAACTAGGTTTTGTGGCATCTGCAAACATGGATATAGTGTTTCGGTGATCCGTATGTGCCAGGGATCACAAAATGTCAGGGTGGAAAACTCAGGGGTCCTAATTTGGAAGAAGTTATTTCCGGGAGATCCACAGTCGTTGATCCAGTAATTTGGAGTAGGGTGGTGTGGGGTGGCGGGGAGGGGAGCGCAGGGAGGGGATTTCACAGATGTAGGGTAGGCTTAAGACCTCAGCCCTACCATGGTTGGGGCTGAGGTAGGAAAATTTATGATTGTGGTACCTCTAGATTGCCGGAAATGACACTTTCAGACATAAATTTTAGAATAGAATGTTCCTTTCTCCACATTTTTTAAAATAATGTGGACAAAATTAGGACCTCCCTTTGAATCTTCAGCCACTGATCTGCAATGATTATGGCTTTAACAAATTTAATTTTATGTATTACTGCACACAGTGATATCCATATTGCATGACTTCCATGAAACAATTGATAATAAAATATTTAAAACATGCAAATATTATGAATTTACGGGAAATTGGTTTTTTTCCGGGAGATTCTTGCTTGCCGGAGTGCGGAATGTCGTCCCGATTTCCGAGAGACTCCCGCGAGTTCCGGGAGACTTGGGACCCCTGAAAAGCGCCTAACTTAGGCGGAAGTTTCGACAAAAACCGTGAGCTATAGCCTATACAGCGCACCCTTAGCATTTTGCCAAAATTGGCCTTATTTTTTATGAAATTATATTATTTCGATTTTAAAACGTGGCATCTGCAAACATGGATAACGTTTCGGAGATCCATATGTGCCAGGGAGCACACAACGACCGGAAAATGACAGGGTTGAAAATTCGCCCAATTTCGACAAAAACCGTGAGCTATACCCTTTGTGATTTTGCCAAAATTGGCTTATTTTTTACCTATTCATTTTTCTGCTAATTCTTAAATTATGGTAGGAAAGTATCATGAAAATACCGATTCTGTTAGAATTAACCTTGTTTAACATGTGTTTTGTAGTATTAAATGTTGTGAATTAACCCAGACTTAAGTCTATAATTAAATAATTAAATATCGTATGAATTAATATTATTTTAATTTAAAAATTAGGTTTTAAGTTGCATCTGCAAACATGGATAGTGTTTCGGTGATCCGTATATGCCAGGGAGCCCACAACAACGGGAAAATGATAGGGTTGAAAAATCACTGAATTTCGACAAAATCCGTAAGCTATTTCATTTTTGCCGAAACTTACCTATTTTTCACATGTCGTATTTCAGCTGATTCTTATATAATAGTACGAAAGTATCATGAAAATACCGATTATGTTTCATTTAACCTTGTTTAACATGTGTTTCATAGTATTAAATGTTGTGAATTATCCCTGAATTAAGCCTATAATGAATTAATTAGATATCGTATGAATTAATATTATTTTTAAGCTTAAAACTAGGTTTTATGTGGCATCTGCAAACATGGATGGTATTTCGGTGATCCGTATTTGCCAGGGAGCACACAACAACCGGAAAATGACAATGTAGAAAAATCGCCCAATTTCGACACTGAACCGTAAGCTATATCCGTTACCCAAATTAGCCTATGTTTCACAGTAATTTTTCAGCTGATTCTAATATTATGGTACGATAGGATCATGAAAATACCGATTATGTTTGAGTTAACCTTGTTAAACATGTGTTTCATAGCATAATGTTGTGAACTATCCCATAATAACAATTATCAACATCATCAATATCATAATAACCACCACCACCACCATCATCATCATCATCATCATCATCAACAATATCATCATAACCACTACCATCATCATCATCATCATCCTCATTATTACCGTCTTCATCATCATAAAGGAAAAAGAATAATGAATTGTTTTGATCCTCAACAGGTGGTGTTTTAAATATAAACAATACTGTATGTGGAGTTGAGAGACTACGAAGGAGACTTTACAATTAATAACAAACGTAAGTACAGTATTGAACATTTTGCATCGTTAATTTTATAGTAAAATTCGAATTCTGTCATCATACTATAGTTATTATTTTGACTAAATTTGTTAGGCATTGAAGAAGGCTGGATAATTTCCTCGACCGAGGCATGCATTGACACGGCTGCATTCTATTCAACAACATACATTCCAAGTGGCTCGTTAAAACCACCATATTCCTGAAACTGGCTAAAGAAAGTTTATTTACAGCTTGGGGCTTGTTAACTTCCGTTCGTTGTTTACATAGTAGATTCGTATCTGTTTTTCTAATTGAAATTATATGAAATTTATTATAAAGAATCTCGTCATTATCTGGTGCACATAATTATTTTAATCATGAATACAGTAATCGAAATAAGTTATACCCCGACAAAAATATTATTGTCATATTATTTCTAAAGGACGAACGTGATCGAGGTAGGCCCAAATAACACTGTCTTTATCAATTGATATTAATATAGTCATGGATATGTACCTCCATGATGTCGATGTCAGATAGGCCTATAGCTACCAGTGGCGGATTGAGTAATTCGAAATATAGAGGGCCCAGAAAGGGACTTCCACAATTTTAAGGTGGTACGCTAAGATCCAATAGCATATGCTGTAAATGGCTAACAATTATTATATTTTTTAATTCAAAAGCAACCAGCAACAGGACCCTGACCAAGGCTGTAGGCATCCCCTTGTTTCAGACCTCGGTCAGTTCGCGTTTTTTACATTTGTTCCTTATTTACGGGCATTTTACTACAAAAATCCTTCATTTGACACTACTACCAACAAATTTTTTTAATGTTTCTACGTATACAAAAAGTATATAGCAAAGGTATTGAGACAGGAAACAATTTTGTCATACAGATATTTAATTGTAAGTTTAAAACTTATTTAAATATAAGTATTAAATTATATAATTAATTTTTTCATCTTTCAGCTCATGACGGGAAGTATCTTTACATTTTACCCCATTGGAAATGGACTGGCCTATGGGCGTTCGTGATGCTCATTAATTTTTACTTTTCTTGTTCACAATATTTTATTTTACTACTACATGTTGTACATCGAATAAATTCGATCAATTAGTCAATAAATATTATATCATGGAATATCATGATTAGATATTGTATGAATTAATATTATTTAATTTGAAACTAGGTTTTATGTGGCGTCTGCGAACATGGATAGTGTTTCGGAGATCCGTATGTGCCAGGGAGCACACAACAACCGGAAAATGACGGTGGAAAATTCGCCCAATTTCGACAAAAACCGTGAGCTATACCCTTTGTGTTTTTTTGCCAAAATTGACCTATTTTTTACCTATTCATTTTTTCTGGTGATTCTTATATTATGGTAGGAAATGATCATAAAAATACGATTATGTTTGAATTACCCTTGTTTAACATGTGTTTCATATCATTAAATGTTTTGAATTATCCCAGAATTAAGCCTACAATTAATGAATTAATTAAATATCATATGAATTAATATTATTTTGATTTTAAAACTAGGTTTAATGTGGCATCTGCCAAATTGATTTTATTTCGGTGATCCGTATGTGCCACGGATACAAAATAACCGGAAAATGACAGTTGAAAAATCGCCCAATTTCGACAAAAACCGTGAGGCTATTTTTAGCTATTAATTTTCATGCTGATTCTAATATTATGGTACGAAAGGATCATGAAAATACCGATTATTTTTTACTACACCATGTTTAACATGTGTTCCATAGCATTAAATATGTTTAATTATTCCAGAATTCATATGGGCTTATAGTATAAGTTACTATTACTTTAAACCTTTAAACTATGTTTTATGTGGCGTCTGCAAACATGGATAGTGTTTCGGTGATCCGTATGTGCCAGGGAGCACAAAACAACCAGAAAATTACAAGGTTGAAAAATCGCCCAATTTCGACAAAAACCGTAAGCTAATATCCTTTGCGTTTTTGCCAAAATTGACCTATTTTTCACATAGTTGTTTTTCGGCTTATTTTTATAATATGGTAGGAAAGGATCATGAAAATACCGATTATGTTTAAATTAACGTTGTTCAACATGTGTTTCGTAGTATTAAATGTTGTGAATTAACACAAACTTTTAAGTCTATAATGAAATAATTATATATCGTATGAATTAATATTATTTTGATTTTAAAATTAGGTTTTAAGTTGCATCTGCAAACATGGATAGTGTTTCGGTGATCCGTATGTGCCAGGGAGCTCAAAACAACCGGACAATGACAGGGTTGAAAAATCGCCCAATTTCGACAAAAACCGTAAGCTAATACCCTTTGCGTTTTTGCCAAAATTGGCCTATTTTTCACATAGTTGTTTTTCGGCTTATTTTTATAATATGGTAGGAAAGGATCATGAAAATACCGATTATGTTTAAATTAACGTTGTTCAACATGTGTTTCGTAGTATTAAATGATGTTAATTAACACAAACTTTTAAGTCTATAATGAAATAATTATATATCGTATGAATTAATATTATTTTGATTTTAAAATTAGGTTTTAAGTTGCATCTGCAAACATGGATAGTGTTTCGGTGATCCGTATGTGCCAGGGAGCACAAAACAACCAGAAAATTACAAGGTTGAAAAATCGCCCAATTTCGACAAAAACCCTAAGCTTTATACCCTTTGCGTTTTTGCCAAAATTGGCCTATTTTTCACATAGTTGTTTTTCGGCTTATTTTTATAATATGGTAGGAAAGGATCATGAAAATACCGATTATGTTTAAATTAACGTTGTTCAACATGTGTTCGTAGTATTAAATGTTGTGAATTAACACAAACTTTTAAGTCTATAATGAAATAATTATATATCGTATGAATTAATTTTATTTTGATTTTAAAATTAGGTTTTAAGTTGCATCTGCAAACATGGATAGTGTTTCGGTGATCCGTATGTGCCAGGGAGCTCAAAACAACCGGAAAATGACAGGGTTGAAAAATCGCCCAATTTCGACAAAAACCGTGAGCCCTTTGCGTTTTTGCCAAAATTGGCCTACTTTTTAACATAGTTGTTTTTCGGCTTATTTTTATAATATGGTAGGAAAGGATCATGAAAATACCGATTATGTTTAAATTAACGTTGTTCAACATGTGTTCGTAGTATTAAATGTTGTGAATTAACACAAACTTTTAAGTCTATAATGAAATAATTATATATCGTATGAATTAATATTATTTTGATTTTAAAATTAGGTTTTAAGTTGCATCTGCAAACATGGATAGTGTTTCGGTGATCCGTATGTGCCAGGGAGCTCAAAACAACAGGAAAATGACAGGGTTGAAAAATCGCCCAATTTCGACAAAAACCGTGAGCTATACCGATTATGTGTTTCATAACATTGGATGTTGTGAACTATCCCATAATAATAATTATCAACATCATCAATATCATAAAAACCACCATCACCACCACCACCACCACCACCACCACCATCATCATAATCATCAGCAATATCATCATAACCACTACCATCATTATCATCCTCATTATTACCTTCCTCATCATCATAAAGGAATAGCGCTTTAGAAAAAGAATAATGAATTGTTTTGATACCTCACCAGGTGGCGTTTTAAATATAAACAATACTGTATGTGGAGTTGAGAGACTACGAAGGAGACTTTACAACTAATAACAAATGTAAGTACAGTATTGAATAGTTTGCATTGTTGATTTAATAGTTGAATTGGAATTCTGTAATCGATGATACAGATTGATGTTACTGTGGCCCTATATATTGTTTAAAGTAGTAATTCCCAAAATTTGCAGCATTCATTTTGAAAAGAAGCTCCCTCTTTACTTTGTTGAAAAGAAGCCCACCTAAAGTTTTAAATGTCCTATCAATCTTATATATTTTTTAATTTATTTATGTTTCAGTAGAATTTAAATACTAAAATAATTGCATGAAAACAAAATATGAGCATAATCTGTGATGATATTAGTATTCTATTCTCTTTAGGAATGTACCGGCTCGTGGAACAGTGTTTCGGCAGTGTGTGCGTGTGTCCGGTGTGTTTGATTCGGTGAAAAGGTAAAATTAGTTTATAATCCATATGTAAAAATACATAGTTATGCATGAAGATTTTGTTTAATGTTTTTCAAAATATGCATGCTTATAATAGTTGATACAATGAGATTGAAATAATTACAAATATTATTATTTGTAGTGCTTGTATGTCAAATGTAATGTGAATAAAAGAAGCCCATGGCTTTATTCGAGGGTTTACACTATATGATAATGTTGATACGAAGAAATGTGAAGTACTATTCTCTTGTATCAGCAGCATTGTCCATACATTGCTGAATATGTTAATGTTCATAGGTTGGAGTACTCACTAATTTTTATTTATATATTTTTTGTTTTCGTTATAATACTTTTTTTTGGTTTCTAAATATGTTCTCAATATTTTTTTATTCCAGTGAGGTAGACAACGATCAACAAATATCAGCAAAGAATGTCCAGACGCGATCATGAAAGAGCAACAGAACTTATCAATTATTTATAATATAGACCATTTTATCAAGTTTATTTTGAAATAGCGCGCCGAATGTTGTCAAAAATCAAGCATCCTGCAAAAATAATGTTAGCAATAAGTATTAATTCTTGTAGGCTTTATGTTTATTTTAATAGAGAAAATAAACCGTAAAACTGTTGCAAAAAATATAGACATATGTAAGGTAATACGATATACAATTTTGTGGATTAACATCAGGTCTTAATTTTTGCCGAATGTGCATGTAATGTATATACATATATATCACTGTATAAAATAAAATGTATATATATATATATATCCTTGATTTTAATGCTTGGAAATAAATATTAAATGGAATTATTAATTTCTTCTCATCTTATTCAATGTCTGTGTTTACTTTAATAAATTTAATAGCTAAAATATCCTTATATCTTTAAACTAAAAGTGAAGAATTGCTTCATCAATAATATTAGCTACTTTGTCTATTAAACTAGCAATGAAATTCTTTCGAGGACGCCCTCAATAAAACAATATAAAAACCGGAAATGACGTGGTTGCTAAGTAACAAGCTCATGCATAATCATGAATATTCAGTAACACCTGTTCTAATTAGACTAACAATAAAATCTTTTTGGTCGATTTTGTCAAAACTGAGCTAAAAGTTTTTATTGTTAGTCTAATGAGCACAGGTGTTACTAAATATTCATGAGCTGTTGCCTAGCAACCGACGTCATTTCCTGTTTTGTAAAATTCTACGGTCCTTTCGAAGACGCCCTCAACAAAAGCATAAAACCGGAAATGACGTGGTTGCTAAGCAACACTCATGCATAATCATGAATATTCAGTTACACCTGTTCTAATTAGACTAACAATAAAATCTTTTTGGTCGATTTTGTCAAAACTGAGCTAAAAGTTTTTATTGTTAGTCTAATGAGCACAGGTGTTACTGAATATTCATGAGCTGTGGTCTAGCAACCAACGTCATTTCCTGTTTTGTAAAATTCGAAGGCACCTTGCTCTGAAAATGTTCGTAATTTGTATGATGTGAATTCTTGGAAATAGTGTTTATAAGATATAGTAGTAGCCTATAATACTGGTATATTCGCTTTGAACTGATTATAATATATTTAATTCGATTATATACTAATTGATATCATGAAATATATATTATTAATGCAATTACGACAGAGGAAGTACACACAATGATGCATTTTAAATTCCACAGCAGTTAGCTTTTATTTTTAATATACGCGGAAATCTTGCATCCAAACTATATACAGTACACGTAATATCAACACAAAGATTGTAGTTTTATATAATATAATATAATGCTTCGGCCTAATTATATTTAAGTATGTAATATCGTCCGAGGATAACTTGTTCGTTGTACAAGAAACATAACTTGCAAATTTAAATTTCGATGATCCAGTGATACCTAACAAAATATCTGCGCGCGATTATTTGCAGAAGACCACATAAATCTGGCTAATGATAGTACATTGTGTTACGTCAATTTAATGTACATCGTGTTCCGGTGACAATGATTGTACATCGATCTTGCACTTCTTGATGGATCGGTAATTTGACCTGAGACACTGAAATAAAAGAGATTGAATTAGTGAGAAATACATTCAAAATATATTTTCCATTTATTATAACATTCATATTTTCATGAGGTATACACATTTTTAAATTAATTTGATACATTTTGTGAAGTGTACATGTTAATAAAACGTTTTTTTTTTTTTTAATAATGATTTGGGAGCGTACGCTCCCCACCGTCCCCAACCCTCAATCGTTAAAGGTCCGCATTTTTTTTAAGACAGTCAAAAATGTACTGAATACAACATTTGTTATTTTTTGTAATAAAACTTAAAAACATTTTAACCAATACTGAGTATACTACAAATACTACAAATACCAAATCTGTGGTCCAACCGGCTCTTCTTCTTCCCCCCGTCAACAGTTTTAGGTACGCCCCTCCCCCTTCCCATACAACAATTTGTCCACTTGGTATGATTAACGTCTTGTTTTCATATCTGAGCATTGTTATTATAGTATACTTAATATATCGAAAGTCGAGTACAATGCAGGAAATTTAAAATATATATATACATATATATATGTACACTGTATTTACCCTGTCT